AGGGAGGTACATATATTTTCTTTTGAAAATTTTAATTTCATGAATTCGAAGATGTTAAATTATTTTGGACTTGTAAGAGTAAAATATTTGTTTCTTACTATTTGACTTTGCCTTTGTTTATCAAGGGACATACCTTACATCCGTTGCAAGCCTGCAAGGATCCAAACAAATGATCACAAACTATATGAAGGAATTGTAATTAGTCACTTCAATGGAGAAGTTTGGGAAATTTTCGCTACTCACCAGGTGCTGTTTGAACTTTCACTGAACAAAGTAGATTATTTATTAATGTTATGAATCGATAAACTTATTCTTTTTGTATGGATTTTTCAGCTTTTTTTTTTGTTTTTTTTTTGAAGGGTGAAACTGTAAGCATCAATAACTAAATTGATCCCATTGAATTTGATTCTAAAAACAACTACTTATTTTCTTCTTTTTGTTTCATTTTATATATATATATATATATATATATATATATATATATATATATATATATATATATATATATATATATATATATATATATATATATATATATATATGAAAGCCTTTTTATTGTCATGCCTTCTAAAACAAATTCATGGAGTTCTAATGCTTCCACGTAACCCACTCTTAAACGATGCATTCTGCCAACATGTCGACTCAATTCTTCATGATCGTCGCACATAACGTTCCTCTCAATGAAGAATTCACCTCCTATCGACAAAATTTACCATAGCGTAGATTCAATCGTTCTCATCTTCCCTTCTCCTTCAACGCTTCATCTTCTGCACTTCAAAAGATCCACAGATTCTCCATCTCCTCCAAACGAACATCTAGATTCGTCCCCAACAAGCAATCCGATCAAATCTTAGTAAAAAAACCCTAATTCGACAAATCATAAGTTCTTAAATCGACTGCAATTGACCAATTTATGCTTCCTTTGGTGATCGATAGACGCATATTACGATGTGTTCTTATTGAATATCCTTGGGTTTACAAGTAATTTTCATCCTTAGTATTTTCCATTGTTACTTGTTCTGATTCATGAATCTGGATGTAGATACAAGCGAATGTAAGGAAGCAAAAAATATACCACAACGGCTATCTCCCAAATGGTTGTGTGTTTTAAGTTTTGGAATCTAATCAGGGTTCATTCATTTTATTTCTTTTGGCTTGATTTAAGATTGGTGTTTGATATCAATGGAATCATTGGTATGATTGTTACGTGTTTTTTATTTTCTATGAATCTATGGTTTTAATTTGGGGTACACAAATTCTCTATGTTTTGATGGTTGAACTCAATTTCCTGAAATACAAACAAACCCATCTTCAGACATTCATCACAATGATTAGGTTGCATTGATTCGGGTATGTGTTCTATTTGACCATCTGAAAAATTTTGTAATGTCGGTGGGTTCTAGGCATTTGTGATTTCTCTTCTAATTATGTCATCAGCAATAGTATCTTCTCCAGAATAAGGTAATATTAATTTTCAAATAAAATTTTTATATTTTTCTTCCAACTACTTCACAGAGTTTCAACCGAAGAGGTCAAGGCATGCTTTATTGTCTTGCAAGTTGTTTGAAATTGGATTACAGTTTGATCGTTTATGACTTATAGCCCTAATAAGTTTTACTTGAGATGGCTTAAAAGCAACCATGATAGAAGATCTTTCCATTATGGAAACCATGTACACTTAACTTTAAGATTGAAGAAAGTTAAAATCTTGGTCGTAAGAACTAGCTAGAGAGCTATTACAACTCAAAACAACCAAAAAGACCATAAAGTCCCTTAAGTTTTACCACTAAAAGGTAAACATCAATCGAAGTTCAAGAGTGGATATTGAGGAGTTAAAGGCGAATCTAATGGATAAAGAAACTGAATTGCAGGGTATTTGAAAGGAAAGTGAGGAACCAAATTCAAAATTGAACAATCAGTTATTGTGTCCATCACTTCTGAAGGTAAATAATCCAAAATTATGGTATTTTCTTTAATAATCATGCTGCTCGGTTGTATAATTTCCTAATTGAATCAATGAAGCTCTTGACATCAAGTTTTAGAATTTTACTTTAAAGCCTTAATTGTTCTACTGGCGTAGAACACTGCATTGCGCGTATTGTTATAGCAAGATAGCTAATTTCCATCTTTCTCTTTCTTAGTAATAGGTGATCTTTATTTCGTGACACCATATTTCTTCCTGTAAATTTTTCTTAATCTAATTTGAATGTTTACTTTATTGAATGTTTTTCAACAAAATAAAAGTCATGTGGTGTATGTTTATGTCATGCATCGCCTCTTCCTGCTTGATGTTTTGGATTGAAATAAGTTCTATAAAAATCATTTCTCAACAAAATAAAAGTCATGTGGTGTATGTTTATGTCAACGACAATAGTGTAAAACTATTTTCAGTTTTTAAAGCGTTTTTATGTCTTTGTTTTGCATTTACATTTCATTCAAGGAAGTGTGGCTCGTGGATAGTTGAGGACTAGAAAGTAAAAACAAATACCCTATTCTATAGATAGTTCTATTGAGAGGCAACTTAATTTTTCCTACAGATGCATACCCGTGATGGAAATGCAAGAGGACAAAGGGGTTCTCTTTTTTGATTTTGCAAAAACTATGAACTAGAGTATATGAGAATATGGTTAGTTAGAACAATGTTTAAATATATTTGCTGAGTTTATATAATTGGGCTCGGTGTATGATTGCAGAGAATCAAAATTGGGTAATTTTCATGTGAAATTATCAAATATTATGTTGATGTAAAATGTAAATCATTAATCATATCGTGATTAATTATTATTTTTTGGTCATATGTTATATTTGTGTGTGTCGATATAGAATTTTTTTTTTTTTTGTGTGTGTTTTTCAGTTGAAGCGAATAGATGGGAATGACAATTTTGTGTACATCCAAATTATTCACCCACCAGCTTCGGTTTTGGTTAGATATGATCACAATCTCACTCTTTCACTTACAAGTAGACATAATTTGTTAGCTAAATAATTGGGATCTTTTATTTTCTTTCACTTTTGTTTTGCCGAACTCTAAACATAAAGAAGAATGTGTACACGAATGAGCATATTTAGTTTACTTTTAGTTTGACATTTTAGATTTGAAAATATGTATAATGACTTCAATTAAAGAGTGCTTAGATGTAGTATTCTCTTTTTATTTAAAGTAACTTACACCAATTGTCTAACTCTAAACATAAAGAAGAATGTGTACACGAATGAGCATATTTAGTTTACTTTTAGTTTCACTTTTGTTTTGCCGAACTCTAAACATAAAGAAGAATGTGTACACGAATGAGCATATTTAGTTTACTTTTAGTTTGACATTTTAGATTTGAAAATATGTATAATGACTTCAATTAAAGAGTGCTTAGATGTAGTATTCTCTTTTTATTTAAAGTAACTTACACCAATTGTCTAGTGGTTTTTATGAAAAAAAAAATAAACGAAAAGGATTATTTAAAAACTAAATGTTATCCCGCATGTTGCGCAATAATATATATTTATATATTTAAATTATATAATTAATGAAAAGGTATCAATTTTTTTACCAGAATCAGAATAGTGGATATGTTTTTGAAAAAAAAAATACTTTTTGTCCAATTTCACATATTTACTTGGTATCCAAACTTTTTCTATTAATTTGATCAAAATATTATGATTTTTCTAAGAATAACCATATTATTAACAAATTAGTTATGGCTTATTAATTTCTAGAATTAATGTATATCATTATTAAAACATCATTTATAAACTTCACATATCTTTTTTATTATAAACTTCACATACCTTTGTTCTCTACTAATAATAGAAACATACTTAAAATACTTCATCCATAATAACAATGTACTTACTTCTCTTGTAAGATTTAGATAATGGCGAAGGAAATACCCATATTACCCACCAAGGGTCGTGATACAAAGTAAATATGTGAAATTAACGAAAAAAGTCTGGATGCCGGGTAAATATGCGAAACTCAAAAACATTTCTGGTATTGTGTTATTTTATGTAACAAAATTTTGGAATCTTTTCGTTAACTAGGCCAAAATGTTAAAGATTTTTTTTGCCCTTTGTATTTTTCTTATTAGAAGGTGGTTGTGGGTTGTGGTATATAATAGTGCGAGTTTCTTTGTTGCTTATGAGTATAGAGAAACATCTCAACTATCACTGGCAAAATAAAACTTGAAGGTCTTTGGTCTAAATACAAGAATAAGTTATAAATACAAGAATAAGTTACGTGCCTTTGTTTGTGTGTGTACTATAGCATTCATTTTTTTTTGCTCTACCTTCCTACCTTTTTCCTTATCAAAGCATTGTGCAATGAAAGTTCAACACAATTACAACATTGTGTTATCAACTTTTTCCAATTAAAGCTATGGAGAATACCCAAAATTGCAACGTAGTTTCATTTATTTGTGTACTATATCATCATACTTCTATTTTTCTATTACAACATTGCACCTTCAATATATATCATTAATTAATACCGACGTAATATAACACTATACTTTCATTTTCTTATCCAAATTACTCTCTATGCAAATTTACAGGCAAATCCGCTATTATAAGAAGGATCCATAGAGATGTATGTATGATTGAAGCTACAAATGTGGATATAAAAGTAAACTAACAACGAACAAAAGTGAGTTGCTTTTCTTTCATTTGTTACCTCTTTCTAACAACAAAACTTATAAAATTTATGCAAATTTTGCAGACGACATCACATTGAAGCTATGTAGATATAAACATTGAAGATTCAAAACAACATAATAAAATCTTTAATTTTTGGTTATTAGCACATTGTATTTTAAACTATGATAAATAAAATACATAAATTACCCCCGTGGGTCGTGCTTAGCACGGGCCTCAAAAATTTCTAGTATATATATATATACAATAAGGACCACCATCAGGACAACCATCTCTTGCGAACGTCGCATGGCAGCTTCCCTCCTTTGCCTCCATTTGCTTCGTTCAGGGTTGTGACGCATCAATCTTGTTAGAGGATGGGCCTTCGTTCAGGGGAAAGGAATGCGTTGCCAAATAAGGGTTCTGTAAGAGGCTACCAAGTGATTGACGCTGCCAAGTCGAAGGTTGAGAAACTATGTCCCGCAGTTGTAACTTGTGCAGACATACTCACGGTGGCTGCCCGTGATGCGTCAGAAATGGTTGGTGGTCCGTCGTGGTCGGTGAAGCTTGGAAGAAGAGATTCCATTACCGCTGGCCTTGTTCTAGCAGAGACCAGTCTTCCTAGTTTTAAAGCTCCTCTTGATTCACCTATTTCCACCTTTAAAGATAACGGATTTAACGCCAGGGACATGGTTGCTTTATCAGGAGCTCATACAATTGGACAAGCTCAATGCTTCTTGTTTCGTGACAGAATATACAGCAATGGATCAGATATTGATGCTGGATTTGCTAGCACACGTAGACGTCGTTGCCCTATAAACAATGGAAACGGAAATCTTGCACCACTAGATTTGGTGACTCCCAATTCGTTTGATTACAACTACTTCAAGAATCTGATACAAAAGAAGGGTCTTCTTGAATCGGATCAGGTACTTTACAACGGTGGATCCACAGATAGCATTGTTTCGGAATATAGCAACAATCCTTCCAAGTTCAAGTCGGATTTTGCAGCAGCCATGGTGAAGATGAGTGAGATCAGGCCATTAACGGGTGAAGCAGGAGTGATAAGGAGGATTTGTGGTGCTATTTCCTAGTGCCTTGCTACTGTTCGTCATATCGGGGGAGAATTGATTTGACTTCCATTCTTTGATTTCTAGAAAATTATACTTTTTGTTTTTGGAAAGGGAACTTCTCTAACGAAGGTTTCCGGGCCAGCTTTCGCGCACCGACTAATCCCCCGCTACAAACATAAAGCTTTGCCTCATGTCATTGAGTCACTACAGGCGAACCTCCATGGCCACAAGGGCTGAGTGGTACCAGGATTTGAACATGAGTCAATAGGTTATCCACCATATCTTCCACATGCCTTACCAAGTCACCACAACCCAAGTGGTTAAAATTATACTTGTCATCACATCTTTTTTATTCATTATACTTGTCATCACATCTTTTTTTCGTTTATATTTTATTCATTAAAGTGTAAAATCTTATAACCCTACTTTCGACTATTCTGGAGGGGTAACCGGAGGTAATTAATATTTATTTTTTTATCACCACGTTTAAGGAGATTTTTAGTTATTAAAATGTTACACGATCAATGCAAATAAAAACCTTAAAGTCTCGAATACTTATTTTCAATTGTAGATACAAACAACAAATATTGGAAATTCTTTCGACCACAAATTCAAAGGATAATTAACCGGCAATGTTGAATAAATCATTTGCAATTCGTTATGTGAGGTTTTTTTAGAAGAAAGAGAAAGGTAAACCGTATAACACCAATATGTTTTAAAAAAATGTTTTTTTTACACTGTGTTATTAATTAAAACCATGAGTTTTCACTTTTTCATGTTTTGCATTAAGTTTTTATTTTTTAGTTTTTAATTTTGAAACTTAATTTTCTTTGTTTCATATTAAACATCATTGTTTTTAATTTCGTTCAACATTAGTCATTTCTGTTTTGAAATTGCGGGTATATATATATATATATATATATATATATATATATATATATATATATATATATATATATATATATATATATATATATATATATATATATATATTACATTTGAAGGGAAAATGACATACATGTCCTATAAACTTTGTAGTGTTTACTCATTTAACCACTTAACTTATTTTGCGGCTTTATAAAAGAATGGATTACATTTTGTCGGGTTGATTAGGTCCTTTTGGGCAAAATAAAGTGGTGATCCGGTTACCCCTTTGCCACATCAGATGTTTGTCCTTAAAACGGTACTATTTATCTTCTTCCCCATCTGATATTCCTCAATCATGTTACCTAATAATCTAATACACATTAGTAAAAATCAAAATCATGTTGTCATGTTCTGATTACGACGATAATTATGTGAGGTTAACAAAGTACACACCAATAACATTTCTCCCAAAATCATTGTTGCTAATTTCTACTTTCTTATTACTGGGACCTTAGATTTTACAAAAAATAATTCTGACGTATCTTCATCTTCCATCAAATCGATCGAAACTCAAAACCAAAGAAAAACCAGTCAACAGAATTCAAAAGTGCCTCTGTTGTAATCCAACTTGCTTGGTTCTTTAAGAGTGATGTTATGCAGAATTAAGTCACTTGATTCGAAAGAATGAAAAACCTTTAACCAGACAAAAGTGTTATTTGAGAATCAATTCTCTTGATTCTCTAAGAATATCATACAAACAAAGCACCAGAAAAGAAGAATCACAAAAGGGATAAAATCGAATGAAAGAGGAACAGGGCAAGAACAAGAACAGGAGAAGAATGTTGATGTTAATCCAAATTCCGTTAATCACGTGATTATCCTTAGGAGTATTTTACCCCTTGTAGAGTTTGAATAAGTAAGAGCCATGTGGCCACGTTTATTAGCAGATAGGGTTAGTTCTTGTTTTCTTGTTGTTGACTAAGCAGACGTGGATTTTCAATCCTATATATATATATATATATATATATATATATATATATATATATATATATATATATATATATATATATATTGTATGCTATTCTATTGAATGTGAATGTAAGAGATTAGAAAGATGTAGCCCTACTGTGTAGTTTTGCTCCAATAAAGAAAAACGAAATTTTGGAAATTTACTTGAGCTACAAGTATATTTGTAACATCCCAAGTGCAGAAAGATAAGTTCGGGGGTGCTATGTGTAATTAAAGGAGTAGACTCGATGAGTAGGTTTCTTAACTCGTCGAGTTCGAGCGGGTGGTGGGCACGTGTTAAGTGACCCGACTCGCCAAGTCGGTGCTGGGAAGAGAAAACCCTAATTTTCGGGTTTGCACCTTATTTAAAGGACCTTAAGTCCTCACCCCAACCTCTTTGTTACCCCTTGAGAGTCAGGAAACCCTAATCTTGTGTGTGAGCCATTGGTGAGAGTTTTGAAGCTTTGGAAGGTGATTCTAGTAAAGGAGGCTTGTAGATCAAGAGGCTAGTATTAAGGAATTTGCATAAATCTAGAGTCTACTTCAACTTGGGCACATCTTGGAGGTAAAAAGTCGTTATCTTGATCTCTCCTCTTCTAGATCTACTCATGGATGGAGTTTGGGGCCATTTTAGGCATGTTTAGGACCCATTTCGGGTTTTGGATCTAGATCTGAGGTTGAACTTCAGATCTAGACTTGTCTTGGTCCATGGAGGCATAAAGTATCAGCCCTTTTAGCATGTATGTGAGCATTCTTGTCTTGAACCTTCTCTCTAGCTAGTATTGATCGAATACCACCTTGCATACACCTAAAGTTGGAAACTTTACGTGTAAAACTAGCCTTAGGAGTCCAAATCTATGAGTTGGAAGCAGTGGAATGGACTGAAATCGTTCGATTGGGGATGACTTAAGTGAACTCGACGAGTCTGTTCTTGGACTCAACGAGTCGGGTCGCAAACCCTAACCCATTGGGTTACGATGAGGCTCAATGAGTTAAGTGGTGACTCAGTGAGTTGGACAAGCTAGGACTCAGGGTTTGATGAACTCGATGAGTCATGAGGTGACTCGCCGAGTTGAGTCGTGATATGAGGGCTTTCTGAGTTTAAGAACTCGACGATTCAATGGACTGACTCGGCAAGTAGGGTCAATCAGGAAGGTTGACTATAACCAGGACTTTGACTTTGACCAAGAGTTGACCAGTTTCACTTCCAAGGGTATTATGGTAAATTCGGTACTTATAGATATGGTTTCATCAAAGTGTAGGCGGTGGAGTTCGTGGCAGTGATCGGAGGATTTGATCTTATCTTTTCAGTTCGACATTGCAATGTGTGTTATCCTCACTATATCAATAGGGTCTAAGTCACCAAGGTCGGCGCTTTCTCGGATTTTGTTTTGGTAATTGTTGGGCATGCTTTTGGGGTCCTTTAGATCCGCGTCCTGGTAGTTAGGGCGGTAATATGTTAGTGATCTGGTTAGGTCGGTATCCTGGTTAGGATCTTGCCATGCTATATGATCTGTTAGATTGGTTTGTTATATATGGTCATGTTATGTGATTATCTGTTATGTGCACATGATTGTTTGGTATGGGGGTTGGGTTGAGACAGATTCTACTTTGTGTTGTAGGCCAACATACCCAGGGCGGACCGGGTAGACTGTAGACCCGGAAGGGCACATAGTTAGATCGAAGGCCCATCGAGCGGTCCGGATAGGCTGAAGGTCCGAGAGGGCGGTCCAAACGTATCGAGGCTCGGAGAGTGGACCAGACAAACTGAAGGCCCAGTGCGGGCAGTCCAGTATTTCTGTAGACTCAGGGAGTGGACCAGGTGAACTGAAGGCCCGGTGCGAGCGGACCAGGCACACTACAGACTCGAGATGCATGGTTGTTCTGTACTTGTTGATACAATATGATTATTGTTATATGAGGTTGGTGTTTTGTGGGTAACTCACTAAGCCTTCGAGCATACATTTATCAGTTATTGTTTCTGGTTTGGCGGATGACCGCGGGAAGGCGAAGGTGTAACCGTACACTTTCCTCGGTTTATGATTATGATTTCTGGAAACTCTGATATGAAACTATTTTGGAAACCTTTTTGTAATAACTATTGTCATTTTAAATGTTTTTGAAAGTTTAAATTTGGCATGAAATTTATGGGTGTTACAAGTTGGTATCAGAGCCTTGGTTTGAGTGAATAAGAGGAACACTCGTGTGAATCCAATTTTCAAAATGGTTTTAAATGGTTATCAAAATAAGTAAACAAGGATGCGAAGTGTAAGATCAGTCGGAACCTGTAAGTAGACCCCAAAATATCATACGGTTATTTGATATTGTCATATGTTAGAATAGCATGATAGTGCTAGGCTAGGAATCTTCATAAATTGCATGATAGAATTGCCTGACACGATGCATGTTAGCTTAGGGTTTTCCTTATATGAGGTTGACATCATTACTGTAGTTACTTATGTATGTATCACAGTTATATATATAATTAAGATCTTATAACTTGAGAATGTTTGGTATGGTCTTATGTTCTGTTCTTATTGATTAGGGCTTAGGGTAGGATTCGATATTCGAAAGTCTATAGGGTCCAGCGTTATGTATGGCTAGCATGCACTAGTGCTGCAGGGGTTGGTGGAAGTTTCATGGATGAGTGGGTAGTAAGAGGCCGGGAGGCCAGTTATGAGATATTTAGCATTCCTCTAGGAATGAGGATTTATCGCTCACTATGTATATGTACATGGTAGGGTGTTGTGGTGATACTTGAGACAAATATGGGTAGGTGTGGAAGGTAGTATAGGCTCGTACTACTGAAAGCACAGGACCCATACACGTATAGAAGTCATTCAAACGATTGAGATTATGCAGTTATAAAAGATGTATATATATATATATATATATATATATATATATATATATATATATATATATATATATATATATATATATATATATATAATGCCCAGACATTCGTCTAGTATACTTATAAAAGATGTATTTTTTTCTTGCACCACATGCATTTGAAACCTCCATGACTTTTCAATTTCCTTCTAATAGTTATTATAAATTGGTTAATAATATTAAATTAATATAAAAACTAATTCTAATAAAAAAAATTAACTAAACTACAATACTAAAATATCATATTTTAC